GTATGTATGTATGTATGTATGTATGTACACTATGTGTACTATGTGTTACTATGCATACCGTGTATCCTATGTACACGACGGACATATATATATATATATACACACACACATACATACATACACACACACTCTCTCTCTATATATATATATAACATACTGCATATATACAAATATGAACATATACTATGTATAGTCACAATACATACTACATTTACTAAATATATAAGGGCCAAGGGGGTTTGGGGAATAGAGTCTATGGCTTCGGGATGGCTTGCAAGCTGAAGAGTCGCAACACAGACCAGACGATCAAGTCCATCCAACAGTTCTGGGTCCAATGACCCTCCAAAGTCAGAATATGGCCACACGGCATGAGCCCCAATGAAACCCTAAACCCTGAACCCTAAACCCTGAACCCTAAACCCTAAACCCTGAACCAAAAACTGCACTGGACCCGACTGCCTGCCTCTCGCGCCCAGCTAGAACGGCTGGAACTGCTGGATTGGCTGGACATGCAGACCTTCATGGGAAGCTGAGACAAGCAATTCGATGCTTGGAAATCTTAGGGTTTGTTAACTAGGTTACCCAGTAAACCCTTTATAATAAGGGTACCCTTTTCCCTAACCTTCGGTTTTAATAGGGAGACCCTAGAACAAAAAGGGCAAAAGGGTACTACTGGGGAACCTAGTTGAAGGGTAGGATTTAGTGCTCAGGGTCTGGCTTAGGGTTCCATGCAAAGGCCCCTACAAAATTGAAACCAGGCAAACCCACCAAAGGCTTCTGAGGGTTTAGGGTTTAGGGTTTAGGGTTTAGGGTTTAGGGTTTAGGGTTTAGGGTTTAGGGTTACACTGTCTTCGCATCCTGTTATACATAGCTGCATATTCTTGTTTGTCTGCTATCCGAGGGATGAGGACTCAGGCACCTCCGGGCATCCTTACAGCAAAGCGTACGGCTTAGGGTTTATTAGGGTTTAATTATGGAGTTTAGGGTCACATAACTGCTCTTCGGCGGAGCCCTTACTCGCAACGTCACCTGAGATGCCCCCCAGCTCTTTAAGCCCATCTCCGAAAAAACCTATCCTTAAACACGAAACAACTAAACTCCATGCACCCTCCACTCGAAACTCCTAAGCCCCAAACCCTGAACCCTAAACCCGAAACAACTCAACCCTAAACTCTCAAAGAAACGAGTGCGCTCCCCAATTCGACCTTGACGCTCTCTATCTGGTCAACTGTAGTCGAACAAACCGCCTGATCGGCTGGCGACCGGCAAAAAGCTAGAAAAGAAAGAAGTGAACATAAACTTGGGGTTCAGGGCTGAGGTTTTCGAGTTTAGGGTTGGAGTTCCGGGTTTAGGGTCAAAGGCTTGCTCCTCATGCTGAACAACTTAGTAACTAAGCTATGAACAGGTTATTTCCTCATGTGTTTTGGTGGAATTGCCACAGCAACAGTAATGATGGTATCAGCTTTCTCCAGCACAATACTAATCACGAGAACAGTTACTGGAATGTCAGCATATACTAATCCGTCCGTCCATCCAATCCATCCATCCCTCCGTCCATCCCTCCGTCCCTCCGTCCATCCATCGATCCATTCCTCCGTCCATCCATCTAATCCATGCGTCCATCCATCTAATCCAGCCATCAATCCGTCCATCCATCCATCCATCCATCCCTCCGTCCATCCAATCCATGCATACCATACAAGCATACATCCATACATACTTGCATGCATACATCCACACATGCATACATGCATACGTGCATACATCCACACATGAAGACATGCAGGCAACCATGCCTGCATGCATGCATGCATGCATGCATACATCCACACATGCATAGATGCATGTACATACGTAAATACAAGCAGACAGACAAATGGACAGACAGCCAGGCAGGCAGGCAGGCAGAAAGGAACACATACCGACACAGAAAAATCTAGACGATCCGAAAGAGCGTATCAATACAGGGCAAGAGCCCCGACTGCGTGGATCAGTGTCATAACGGCGGGGATGCAAGAAGTGGCAAGGAGTCACGATGTCCATTCTGCGCACAGTTCAGGGCATTGGTCGCTGAATCCAAGTAGGGTCTGCAAATCTGGGTTGAAGACTTGGGAAGCATTCAAACATGTGACTAGAGCTTTTTAAAGCTTAGCCCAGAAATTAAGCCAAGAAATCTCAAGCCGCCCTCCCTTCCTGGACGGCTGTTGCAAGCTTCTTCGCATGAGCACATTCGCCGAGCGCATCCTGGCGACTCTCTTCTTAAACCCTAAACCTAAACCCTCAACCCTAAACCCCTACAACCTAAACCCCTAAACCCTAAACCCTAAAGGAGCCCTCAGAGTAACCCTTAAAGGAGCCCTTACCCTCCAGGATCCTCAAGACCATAACAAAACCGTCGGGCTTCCGGGTTTATTGTAGGATGTGAAAAGCTTGTATCGGGTTTAGGGTTTAGGGTTTAAGGTTTAAGGTTTAGGGTTTAGGGTTTAGGGTTTAGGGTTCAGGATGAAATTGGTTAAGCTTAGGTCGCCTTAATACTCAGAATAGGGTTTTGGGGCCCATTTTTGGGGGTTCCTTGAAAGGATTCCTTAATAAAGGGTTCTATAAGAGCTACTATAAGGGTTTAGGGTTTAGGGGCCTTAATAATTATATTAGGGTTTGGGCGCCCATTATACTTGAATTATAATAAGGAACCCCCAAGATAGTATTGGCATTATGCTATAACTATAATACGGAACCTCCAAGATAGTATTGCTGATTAATTAAGCCCCTACAGTAATCTCCAAACGCCAGTAGACAGACATAAGAACGGTACCACTCGTCGAAATCCACTAGCAGTCTTTTGGTTTCCATGTTAAGAGTTCGGATGTAGGATATGACCTTGGCTTCGTCCTGCTTCTTCCAACTTCTTCGTCTCCTTGTATCACACTAGTGTGTTGCACTTTTCCGCATGCCATCATGAGACAATTGCGCTGCTGTGCATAACTCGTACTTCTGGGCATGTGTTGATCAGTGGTTCGTCTCTCCTGCTTGTCCAGCTACTGACGAAGATGTGCCATGGTATCATTAACAACCCCCGAATCAAGCACACCTGCCTTGACTGTCGTACCCAGGTGGTTTGCGAACTACAGTGCATACGTTCTATCTGCATTCAAGCTGGTATGGCAACTCCTTCTCCTGTGGAAGTATACAGTACAACTCCTTGTGTTCGGACATTCGGATCTTTAAGGGAGTTGCAGTCTTCCACACATGATCCATTTCGAGGCAGCATGAAATAATCCATCATAGAACTATACGGAGAGTTTAGCTTCTGGTCGTTTGGCGAATAAGTGAAGTGAGATTCGGAAATTCATGTATCACAGCAGCTTGGCGCATACGGAAGCGTGAAGTAGTGCTCTCCCACACATCTGGCCATTGTTTAACAGCTGCCGGATGAAACCACGACAACGGCTCTAGGTGACCAGCACATCCAAGACGTGATGAATGCAGGCACAGAAGCCCCCACTAAAACCCCTACCACACCCCATAAGAAGCCCTATATAAATCCTACAAAGGTAAAAACCCCAACTCAAAGCTTTCTTGTTCTTGTTGCTGAGGCCGCCTCGAGCACCGAGGGCAGGTCGCGCAGATTTTTCAGGACGTCCCCATCCTGGAAACTTGTTGTTGTGGTTTAGGGTTTAGGGTTTAGGGTTTAGGGTTTAGGGTTTAGGGTTTAGGGTTCAGGGTTCAGGGTTTAGGGTTTAGGGTTTAGGGGTTTAGGGGTCAGGCCAGTTTAGAGCTGAGGTTTAGGGGTTAAAGCGCTTAGGGTTTTAGGTTTAGGGGCTTAGAAGGGCTGTAGGGTTTGGGGTTAAGGGCTTGGGGCTTATCGTTTACAGGGCTTCTAGGGGCATAAAGCCCTAAACCCTAAACCCTAAACCCACATACCCTAAAAAAGCGCTTAGAGGGCTTAAAGGTGTGTAGGGCTGGGGGGGTTTAAGGTTTCCGGGCTTCGGGTTGTTCAGGGATTAGGCATTCAAGGTCTAGGTCTCTGGGGGCTCGAAGAAATGGGGGGGGGGCTCCGAAAATATTGGGCCCTAATAAAGTACCCCCTAAATAATAGGATCCTTATCTTAAGGACCCTGAAATAAGGTACCCCTTGTTTTCGGAAACTCCCAAATAAATTCTGCTAGGGGCTGTCGAACACTTCGGGGCTGTTGTAGGGGAGCGTCTAAGGCCTTTTTCGCCTTTTTCGGGGTTTGGTGTTTAGGGCTTAGAGTTGCCTAAACCCTTTAGCCCTGAACCGTAAAGGTGTAGAGGTTGAAGTGCTCAGGCCACGGGGGGCCAGGGTTTCGCTCGGGACTTTGAGTCAAAGAGCTAAGGAATGTAGAGGCCTTAATTAGAATAGAGTTTGGGGGCCCATCATACTATAATTATATGTAGGCTCCTATATTACGGGTTCAGAGGCTTTTGCAACGGCTTAAACCAGCCTTCGTATGCTAGATGGCTTTCTGAATTTTGGGTTTCCGGCTTGCGGCAATTTCGTTTGTCAGCTGACACCGCAAGAGCAAGAATGTTTACATAGTACTAGACACGTTTCATTACATACCCCTAACCAGCACCACTCCAATGACGACTGCTGACTATCTAATTGAGCTTCCCGTTGCGGCTGACGAACTAAAGAAGTAACGGGTCAGCTGCTTAACCTCATCCACGAACTATTTTTCGTGCTGCTGCCTGGAGTATTCGTGTCGCTGCTGCTGCTGTTGCTCCTAAGAACAGCAACAGGAAGAACCAACGACAAGGTGCCGGGAAGCCATCGGCTCGTGCGATGCACCGAGTGTTGAGTTCAGGGGGTTTGCGATTCAGGGATGAATCAAACCATGGATGCGCTGCTTATGGTAGCAGCAGTAGTACTTGTCATCCCATGTACGAACCATTACGAACCGATTCCTGCACATTCGCATCTGCTCTCACCTCCATTAGTCTCAGGCCTAGCGCAGGCAGATCGAAAGCCCACGTGAGGCTCAGTCAATCAAGAATGGTGTATAGAATTTGTCGAAAGCACAGACTGGGGAATCGTTCTTCTCGCCACCGGCACGCAATACACTTTTTTTCTGATCCTGATCTTTTGAAATTTCCCTCTTTGTCTTCGGGGTACTGATGATGCACCGCTCTTTGCAAAAGTACTTCGCCGTCGAGGGCATGTCAAAGCCGGGGGCAAACTCGTTTTCCACTGGCACTTTTCGGTTCACCAGCCTGACCTTCTCTGGCGACACCATCTGGAATTCCCAGTTCTCCGAGACTGTGCAATCGGAGTAAGTGACCTTGATGTCGGATTTCCCGTGGTACATGTGCTCGCCATTGCACTTGCTCTCACAGCAGCGTCCAAAGCCCAAGGCACAGGGCAGGCTGTCGGCGGAGGCGTTCGTCATGCCACTGTTGCGAAGGGCGATGCCACCCTGAACCCAAGACATCAAAACAAGAATGCTGCGCTGCATGGCTCGCATCGCCTACGCCAGAGAGCACATCGGGGCTTTGACAAAGAACGAATAGCTCGAGCAGAAATTCCTCCTAGCCAGTTGTGCGGCCAAAGCTGCGTTGTCCTGCAAAAAACACTCCAGAAAAAGTAACTGGCCATGTAGTTGTCGAAAGTAGTCTGACTGTTCTTGTGCGTAGTACTACTACTCTACTTACTATTCGTCGTCGTGGTGACGGTAGTGGTCGTGGTAGCAGTCGTGGTAGCAGTCGTGGTGGTGGGCATGGTAGTAGCAGTGGTAGTGGCAGCGGTATTGGTGGTCAGAATGGTGGCGGTAGCACTGATTAGTAGTCATCGTCGTCGTACCATAGCAGTATATAGCTGCAGCAGCAGCAGCAGCAACAGAAGCACAGCAGCACCGCCCATTGTGCCCATAGCCTTGTTGAGTCTACCGACATGCCAACAACAACTTTCACGAGCAAACATCCACTCTACATGTGGATTGAACATGTTTGTTCTTCCAAGTCTGCTCAATTCTTCCGTTCGGCTCTTGCCCGCGTCACCTCTAAACCCTAAACATCCCCAAACCCTAAGCCTTTCAGACGCACCCTAAATCCTGCCTCGCCGGCATTCAAGTCCAGCAGCAGGCTCTCGTCGAAATCATCGGTCTGCGTGAGCTTTTGGCAGCTTTTGGGTTTAGGGTTTAGGGTTTGGGGTTTAGGGGTTTAGGGGTTTAGGGTTTAGGGTTTAGGGTTTAGGGTTTAGGGTTGAGGGTTTGGGGTTTAGGGTGGCGCACTCGATAGAACAAGTCCTGCAAGATTGCGTGATGGAACTCGCCACTGAAGGGCTCTTTCGGCCCCAAGATTCGAACTTCGACAACTCGGTCAGACTGGAGTTTAGGGTTTAGGGTTTAGGGTTTAGGGGTTTAGGGGTTTAGGGCTTAGGGTTTAGGGTTTAGGGTTTAGGGCTTAGGGCTTAGGGTCTAAACCCTGTGGCCCTGCGGGTTTCGGGTCCCCCGCAGATTGGATTGCGCTGGTTTGGCGTTGAGTTCTGTCCTGTCGAATAATGTAGGGGCCTAAATAATTACCTATACTATTTTGGGGGTGGTTCCTTATTATCCCTATTCTAATTATTATTATTATTATTATTATTGTTATTATTATTATTATTATTAAGGCCCCTACGTTAACCATGCTGAGGCTGTGGCTTTTCTTCTGCCAAGGCTGCCGCTCTGGGCAAGCGAGCATCCTCCCTCGAAGAGCTGGCGACTGCAGGTCTGTACACTGTACAAAGCAAGATGCTCCTCTGCAGCCTCAGCCCATGAAGGATAAGTCGAATAAGTGTAACTGAGTCATGTAAATCTCAACCAGAGCGGAGCTCTTTGCAATCCCGTGCTTCAAGGCGATGGAGCTTCTATCAAAAACTGTCAAGACCTTAGTGTGCCCTTTCATCAAGTAACGAACCCCACGGAACCTTGCTTCACCGGAAATGGGGTTGAAAGGCGTGTGCCATCACAGCGGGCATGTGTCCATCCGAAGCTGCTCCTTGGCACGGGCAAAAATGCCAACCCTGACGGTCGAAAATCAAGAAGCCTCTGACGTCTCAATAATATACTGCACGACTGTCGTTCATGTTCCATGCTTTATCTAGATTGCAGGCTGTACACCCAACTATCTCATATCGCTCCAGACAGGTTCTCACTGAAACCTTTGCAGAGGTGTATACAACACATCATACAGCTATACTCCACATAGTGCTTTATGACCGTAAACCATGCACCCCAAGACTGGACACTTTTGCACAATCCCGGGGGGGCGCCTGAACAAGCTCAAACTTCCGGAGTTTTTTGTGTCCTCCCCGGAGTGTCTCCGCCACATGGTACCCCCTGCGCCGATTGTTCCAGGCACAGCCGTGGCTTTCACGGTAGGGTCTTTCACGTACGGTTTAGGGTCCGCCGACAATCCTACCCCCATGAAGCCTAGACTCCAACCACGTAAACCTCCAACTCCCCGAATTTATCATTCTACCCACTTAGCTGGGGGCTTGGACTGGGGTTTCGGGGTATGTTCGGGGGCATCTTATACTCCACTTGCAACCAGGAACCGTACATATTAATACAATATATAGTATAATATGAGTAGTTGCTATAGATCCTGGGTAGTTAGTCCTGCATTTCTGCTTCAGCTTTTCTGTGGGACTGGTCACCGGATACCTAAACCCTAAACCCTAAACCCTGAGCTTAGGGTTTAGGGTTTAGGGTGTAGTAATCCCTGCAGGAGATGAACCTCCACAAACCTCCACACACTCCGCAGGTGGCCTTGGGCTTACGTTCGGGTACCAGTAGGAGGGAGAGATGAGGCCGGAGCCTTAACCTGAATATCAAAATCCTCTGTAAGTCCTAAACCCTAAACCCTAAACCCTAACCCTAAACCCCCTAAACCCCCTAAACCCTAAACCCTAAACCCTAAACCCTAAACCCTAAAGTCATCAGCCTGTAAGCTGAGGGCATCCGGCGCGCCATCCTGGCCGAGTCGGCGACCCCACCCATCCGCAGAAGCAGAAAGAGGATTCTCGTACTTCCATAACCGAAAAGACGGTGATTCGGGGTTAGGGTCTAGGGTTTAGGGGCTTAGGGTTTAGGGTTTAGGATTTAGGGTGAAGGGTCGGATCAGGAAATCTCGACACTGCACCACTCCCTCAAACCCACACTTCATGTTTGCAAAACTGCAAAACTCTCTCAATCCTGAACCCAGGAAACATATACGCCACGATAGCGAGTAGCAATCAAGAAGCAGCAGCAGCTGTAGCGGCAACGGCACCAGAAATTGCACCTGCACTAGCGACAGCAGCAGAAGCAACAACACAGCAGTCGCAAGAGAAACAACAACAACAACAACAACAACAACAACAACAACACAACAATAGTTTTTACGAAAGGAAGCATTAAAATATGGAAGTGGCGAATGAGAGCATCCTCCCTCTTAAATTTTGGCTGCCTTGCCGAGTACGAGTGCCCACGGACGCCGTTGGCCACCGGGACGCGCCGGCGCGTCCGGCCGTCGCGAGTCTTCTCCCTGAGGAGTCGCACGGTTGTAGATCGAATGGTGCTGAAACCACTAAACACACCCATACCACCGCCACTAACACTGCTACTGCCACGACACGACCACTACCAGTGACCCCGACGCCGACGCCGCCGACGACGACTATTACCACTCCTCCTGCTGCTACTACTACTACTACTACTACTACGACAACGTCGACGACGACTCCGGCTACTACTACCTAAACCCCTGGTCTCATTTATCAGGCCGCTGATTCTACACTCTCAAAGCTCTGACGCCAAGCATCCACTTGCGATTCCGGGTCTTGACCTCCTCGGCCCACTCCCCGAAACCGATGTAGAGCCTGGTTGGAGGACATATGGTTCTTTGGGATATCAGGCTCCTACAAGAGCTTCATAAGGATCTACAGAGGTTTGATAAGGGCTCTGCAGGGGATTTGTAAGCATTCTATCGGAGGTGTATAGGTGCACTGTATATATGGGTTCTACAAGGGATCTTGGAGGGAACGAGAACCTTTCCACAAAGCTTTCAAGGTTGAGGCTTTTACGGTTAGGGTTTGGGATGCGCGGGTGTGAGTTTCGGGTCGCCTTCTTCCAGGCTTGATACTCGGGCTGCTTGCAGATATGTGTTCAGGGTGCTTTCAAGGGGTCTCAAGGCTCAGGATGCGACCAAGCAACCCAGGACAGCAGATTGAGCATTCGCAAATGTAGCAATCCTGTGCGATGCTGCGCTGCCACGCCAGGGCAAGATAGCATCAATCGTCAAGAACGAGTAGCAGTGCGAGCAGTGCAGCGGCATGAGAAAAGTGCTGCCAAGAAAAAGCTCTACAAGTATGTCATAGTAAATGCTATGTTTAATCATATTGTACGATATTATGCGATATTATGTTATACTGTGTTATATATCTTATGATTTGTTATTATATAAGATATTATACCACATTTATATTACGTCGTATTATCTTCACTATAGAGTAACTCTGCACAAACAGCACAAGTCCCAAGCACGAAGACGACGACACGACAAGTAGGATAGAGTTCGGATAGAGATGCCTGGCGGGGGCCTCAACACACCGAAAGCATGGACAACATAACCCAACAAACTTGAAGAGCCTCAACATCTTAAATTACTAAATGCCTCGAAGCAATCATCCAACCCTAAACCCGAAGCCAGGAAGTGTCAACCCCATGCAAAATCCTCATCCCCGCCCTAAACCCCAAACCCTAAACCCTAAACCCTAAACCTTAAAACCGTAAA